CTCCAGAGCTGTGAGACTTATGTAGTAAGATATCCACCCCACCCACACCTGATGCATTGACCACACCCATCTGGGCGTGGTCACAGGTGTGGACTTGAGGGAGAATAGTTTTAGATCTGGGGTCAGAGCACAGATGGCTCTCTCTCTGGCTTCTGGTTGGGTCATAGAGAGCAGCCTGAGTGCATCCTTGGAGTGGGAACTTTTGGCGATCATCTGCTTCTTGTGTGAGTGACTTTTCCCCAAATAAAATTGTATTTAACCTATACTGAACCCAGTCCCATGAATCTTGATCCGTGTATCCATATCTGGCACCCAACGTGGGGCACAAATCTACAATCCTGAGATTAAGAGTCTCATGCTCAGCCGGGCGTTGGTGGTGCACGCCTTTAATCCCAGCACTCGGGAGGCAGAGGCAGGCGGATCTCTGTGAGTTCGAGACCAGCCTGGTCTACATAGCGAGTTCCAAGACAGCCTCCAAAGCCACAGAGAAACCTTGTCTCGAAAAACCACAAAAAAAAAAAAGAGTCTCATGCTCTACCTACCGGCTATTGTTTCAAGTGGGTGGGTAAACATTTCGTTGACAGCCCCAGTGGAAACTTAGAGGCATCGATTGTTGTATAATGCAAACAATATGAAATTAAAAAAATTTCATAACATCTACAGCATTATAAAGTTAGGAAATAAACAGGCTCCAAAACAATACAGAGAAACCCTGTCTCAACCCCCCCCCCAAAAGTTAGGAAATAAAAGAACTGTTGACCATGTGGTCTAGAGTTTATATATTATCCTTCTGTGGTCTTTGATGGAGTTGAAGACATATACCTATGGTTATAGTTTTCTTTTGTTATGATAAAAGATAAGCTACATATAAAACTTTAGACTCACAAAGATAGACGATAGAATATTTTCTTTAAATCTTGCGAGGTGTTAATGGACTAAATATTGTAACTATAGCTCTTACTCCATAACTGTTTTGTTATATATAATTTGACTATATTAAAGTTAAAACCTTTCTTTTTATTTAGACAGAAAAGAGATGATGGGGATGTCCTTCTGTATATATATTTCTCTTTTTGGTTGATGAATAAAACACTGTGGCCAATAGGGCAGCATGATAGGCAGGTCTAGGAGATGAGGAAGATTCTGGGAAAGGTAGGCAGAGGGAGTCATGATGTAAGGAGTAAGAGGAGTAACATGTCTCTGGACATTTCACTGGTAAGATAAGACCACATGGAAATACTTAGATTGATAGAAATGGGTTAGAAACTAAGTCAGAGCTAGCCAATAAGAAGCTTTATATATTGGTCAACAGTTTCATAATTAATATAGTGTCTCATGTGTTATTTGGGGCTGTGGAACCAGGCAGGAAAACTGTGACAGACCTACATCTCTGTTATGTCATCAAGTGGGAGCTGGGAACCTGGCTTACTGGGGTAAAGGTGCTTGCAGCGCAAGTGTGAAGATCTGAGTTCAGATCCCCAGCTCCCATCTACAGAGCCTAATATAAAAAGCCAAAAAGCCTAGTGCAAGTGTGATGCCTGTAACCCCAGCGCTGGAACAGGTGAAGCAGAAATCACTGGAACTGCTAATCAGTCAGACGAGCCAAAAAATATCTTGTTCCAGGCTCAGGGAGAGACCCTGTCTCAAAAATATAAGGTGGAGAGAAATATAAGACAACCCATGTTCTACAGACCTTTGTGTACGTATACATGGGTGAACTCCCTCACACACACACACACACACACACACACACACACACACACACATACACACACAAAGTATTTGGTATTCTGTTAGAGTGCAAAGAACTAACTTAGTACCTTGCATCTGTAGTCTGAACCAACATCACTGAGCCCAAATCCAGGTCTAACAGCAAGAGGAAGCTTTATAACATGATGTGCCTGTGTGCGTGTGTGCGTGCATGTGTGTTGTGAGGGTTGTGTCTTGTAAGGGAAAGTATGGCTGACCTAAAGGCCATTGTCTCTTCAGGAATGGGGGCTACAGGAAGAGAGAAAACTATGAAGTTAGTGCTAGCTGACTTTCATCTTTGTGGAAAAGGAATTTTAGGGGAAGCTAGCCCAGAGCTCTGAATTGGGTTGGGCTATCTGTGAATGAATGGGGATAGACTTTAAAAATCTTTTGCTACACTGTTAAGAGAAGCTTTTTCTTTGAGAGAAGCCTTCCCACCAGCCTGGTTCTAGAGCCACATCAGTCCCAAATAAACACACAGGAGGCTATATTAATTATAAAGCTGTTGGCCTTGCTTGTTTCTTACTGCCTAGCTCTGACTTAAGTAATTACCCTGTAATTGTTAATCTAAGTATTTCTCTTACCGGAGAATAGTTCCGGGCTTCCTACCCCATGGCGTTACATCTTGACTCTCTTGTGTTTCTCCTTCCCAGAGTCCTCCTGGACTCCTAGTCCCTCCTATCTTGGTTCCCTATTGGCTCAACAGTGCTTTATTGACATAAGACTTCCCCAACACTACACAATTATAATTTGTTCCAAACGAGGGGCAGTGGTGTTGAAAATGTATGTGTGCCTTGTCAAAGACTTCGTAACAGATTTAGGTTCCCCTGCCCTTCTTCATCTCACATATCCTTGGGTGGATTAATCTTAAGTACCAAGTCTCATCAGTCAGTAGCAGCTATTTGGAATGCTATGCTAAGATTCCAAGACCACCTCAGGGATCAGTAAAAAGACAGAATCTTGATGTATTAGTAATGTCTGCTGGGGACAAACATGGAGAGAGAGGGACAACCACGCATTTGATAATTCTGTAAGTCACCCAATGATTAGGTCTAGTTCCACATGCATTGCTAACATTCACATGTTTATTATTTATTGTCAGCTATTTGTATAGCTAAGATTTCTTGACTTGACTAGCTATAGAGGGAAAACAAGAGTAACTGGGAAAAAGTGGTAAAGAGCACTGACCGCTCTCCTAGAGGACCTGGGTTCAATTCTCACACCCACTTGGTGGCTCATAGCTATGTGTAACTCTAGCTTCAGAGTATAATCACCCTCAGAGGGCATCAGGCAAAACACATACATGTTTTAAAAAATATATAACAATTTTCTAAAATGTATCTTCAGTGGTAGGGCCAGCGGGTAAATGTAGTTGCTACTCAAGCCTTGAGTTTGATCCCTGGAACCCATGTAAAAGTGGAAGAAGAGAACTGACCCCAGGAAGTTGTCCTTAAATCTTCATGTGTGTGCTGTGGCGTGTGCTCTCTCCTCCCCTCACTCATGCCCTCACACACACACACACACACACACACACACACAATGATGGTGATGGTGGTGATGATGATGGTGGTGGTGATGATGATGATGGTGGTGGTGTAAAAGTTGTTTTAAGGAACACCTTATGACAGAGACAGGATTTGAACTCTATACCATGCTGGGAGTTTATCAGTCCAACTGAGGACTGGCCAGCTGGAGAGACCAGTGGACAGCCCATATGAGGCAGCAGACCTCCAGGTGGACACAGAGAGGCCCAACTGAGATGTTCCTACCAGGTGTGTGAGGGAAACCTTGATGGTTTCAGCATGAACTGTGGCTCATTTCAGCCATGTGAGAGCACCCCGAGCGAGACCAGCAGAAGACCCCGCCAACGATGCCACAGGCAGCTCAGAATCATGAGAGAGGTACAGCGGTGGTGGTTTGAAGCCACCGTCTTTTAGACTGGTTTGTTCTGTAGAAGCAGATAGCGGGAAGGGGTGGCTTATTTGTAAAGGTGGCACCTAATAAGGTTGAGGGCAAGAATGAGGGACATGGAGGGAATCGTGTACAGGAGAGAGTTTGAGGTGCGTAAGGACCTGAAAAGAGCCAGCGCAGGTCAAACGCAGAGACACCATGACCACGGTAACTCTTATAAAGGAAAATGTTAATTGGGGCTGACTTACAGTTTCAGAGGTTGAATCCATTATCGTCATGGCAGGAAGCATGGCGGCGTGCAGGCAGACAGGGTGCTGGAGAAGGAGCTGCCGTTCTACATCCAAGGATCAGCAGGCAGCAGCAGGAGATCGCGCCACACTGGGTGTGGCATCTGAGACCTCAAAGCCCTCCCCATAGGGACACACCTCCTTTAACAAAGCCACACCCACTCCAACAAGGCCGCACCTCCTAACAGTGCCACTCACTTTGGCCAAGCATTCAAACACGTGACTTTATGGGGGGGGCATTCCTATTCAAACCACCACAACTGGCTCTTGTGTGTAAGAAGAGATTCAGGCAGACTATGGGAAGGCAGAAAGAATGCTTTCATGGCCACCGTCATTGCGTCCTGGAGGGGTGACGGTGGCTTGGAGGAAGAGGGCTGACTGAGAAGGTGGAGAACGGCAGGGGCACGCAGCGCCGGCTCGTCGGGAGGTAGGATACACAGAGCCGCAAGATGCTGAGGAGTGAGAAAGAAGTGCCAAAAATGACTCCCAGATCCCTGACTTGACAACTGGGCGGGGGCTGGTGCCATTTACTGAGATGGGGAAGCCGTGGGAGGATGAGGTTTGGGTTAGGGGAGGCAGATCAAGAGTTCACTTCTACACACGTGGGGCTGGAGCTGTCAGCGAAGCCAAGCAGTGCCGTGAGTAGGCGGCTGAATATACAAGTTTACAGTGGAGCAAAATGATCCGGGCTGGGGGTATTCATGTGGAAGTCATCTGCCTAAGGATGATATTTCAAGCCAGGAAAGAGATGAGGATGCCTAGGGAAAGAGAGGAGTGGGGGGGGGTGGTGGTAAAAAAAACAACCTTCAAAAATGCTAACACTAAATATCAGTCCAGGAGCAGATCTAACGGTTCTGCATATTTAGGATAAAGATTAATGATACACCCCACCCCCAAGCATCCTCCTCTGGCTGCGCCTTTCTGGCCCCCTCTTCCTTCCCCTGTAATGTAGCATGGAGTCCTCCCACACACAGGCCATTCCCTCTCAAAGGTCCTTTCTCTGAGTGACACGCCAGGAGTGACTGACCAAGCCATGTTAGAGATGGACAAATGGACACTAAACAAACAGCAGGTCAGCCCAGCCAGGCTAGCTGAGTTCCGCTAGGGTGTTGCTAAGAGATTCTTAATCCCGTTTCCCCGTCTGTAGGGAAGGGCTGCGGGCTCCGGAGAAGGCCCCCAATCGCAGGAGCCCAGGCACTGACAAGCCTCGGTGGTGGCTGAGAGCGAGGCTGCTTCCCCGAGCAGAAAATAAATGGCCTTTAGACTTCAACAAGTCATGGGTGTCAGAGGGTGGCTCGCCTGCTTCACTCCAGAGCTTGGAGATGGATTGCTAGGGAAAAGCAGAAACCTATAAATGCAGAGCCGAGAGTTTTCCATCTTTTGCTCATTTACACCACAGACATTTGCACTGCAGAGATGCCAGGCTCAAACAAATATGCAAGCATGCCACTGTCGCCCTCAGAGTCCCGGCTGGAATAAGTGGTCTGAGTTCTCCATCATGCTGTTCAGGTTCCCCAAGTAAGGTTTCTATCTTGGTGATGATACATGGTGCTCTGAAACTAAGGCTCAGTAAACACACACACACACACACACACACACACACACACACACACAATCCCCCAGAGATACAGTTTGACAACACACGTCCAGGGTGGAGGATATAGCTTAGTGGTACAGCATCCACTTATCATGGCCAAGGTCCTGGGTTCCATCCTGTTGCATGAGATTTTTTTTGTCCTGGCTGGTCCTGTCACCCTTCTCAGACCCAAAGAAACACACGGATGCTATATTACTTATAATACTGCTGGCCGGCGACTAGGGTTTCTTATTGGCTAGCTCTGTCTTAATTATTAACCACAGCTACTAATCTATGTAGTTCCACGTGGTCTTGGCTTACCGGAGAATGCCAACCTGTAGCTCCGTTGCCTGTTACATCTCGACTGCTCAGCGTCTGGGCAGAGAAGAGAGAGATTTCCTCTTTGTGCCTGCTATATCCTGATTCTGCCCAGCTATGTCACTTCCTGTCTGGTCAATCAGCCAATCGGTGTTTTACTCATTAACCAATAAGAGAAACATATACACAGAAGGATATCCCCCATCACCATCCTGGGTGCCACAAGACAAAAGGAAATAAGAAAATTCCAATTAACAATTAATGGCAATAAAATCCCCCAAACTCAAGTATCTAATATTTGCTTTTGCAAGACAGGGCTCAACCTGAAGGCTTCATGAAGTTAGAGACTCGATCTGCACAGCAATGTACAGGTTCCCCTAGATGGGTCCTCAGCATATGAACCAAATTTGGTTTGTGGAGTAGATGCTTCTCTTCAAAGAGAGGAGCGTATGGAAGGTCCCAGCTGATCTGGGAGTACACCTGTCTCTATACGGGCCTGGGCTTTATTCCCTTCTAACAGTGATATCCAAGTGTGGTTCTCCCAACCAGCAGATCAACCTCCCCTCAGAATTCGTCAAGCCCACTACGGGAGTCCTGAATGGAAACTTAGGGTGGGGCCCAGAGCACTGTATGAACAAGCCCTGCAGCCGTGTCTGAAGCGATTCTAACTAGCTGAGTTGCTCCATCAGTATGGCTTCCATTCTGTAATAAACTCTAACTTTTAAAGTTTGCTTCTATGTTCTATGTATGTCTGTGTACCATGTATGTCTGTGTACCACATACATGCCTGGCGACCACAGAGGCCAGAAGAGGGTGTTGGATCCCCTGGAGTTGGAGTCACCAATGCCTGTGAGTTGCTACACGGGTGCTGAGAATTGAACCGGGATCCTCTAGAAGAGCCGCTGAGGCTCCTTCCTCTCGGATGAGTCTAGCTGAGTCAAGTTGACACATGAAACCAGCCAGTACAGCCCTTTAACATTTGAGGAAATAGCAGAAGCAGGAAGATGTCTCTGGAATAGCGCAGGCCCCTCCCCGAAGCTAGCCACTGAAGGAATCGCCTGTGTTTCCTGGGAGAAGCCCACTCTGTACCTGGGAGGCAGGAGCACTCTGGGCTCCGCGGAGGCGGGGCACAGAGAAGATGGAGAGGGTGGGGCTTGCTAGGCTGCCCCAGTCAGCCATCACATGGCGCCTTTTATCCCAGACTTGTGCACTTCTGCCCACTCGTCAAGCCTCGGTATAAAACCACACTCGGCTCCCTGTTGTGCTGGGGCTGCACTTTTGAAGGCTCCTGCATCATGCATAACCAAGGCAGAAAACGAACTCCTATGCTTTCCCTTGATGACTATCTTACTAGATACGCCCTAGCCCCATTCCTAAAGATGGGTGAGGAAAAGAAGTCTTTCCCCTTACAAGGGCCTTCTGGAGAAACCAGGACTCATCTGTCCCTCAAGTCAGGCTTGGAGCAAGCTTTCCTTCAGCTAACACCCAGCCAGCAGCGTGAACACGTGTGAATAGTAAATGCGTGTATACATTCCTGTGTATGTGTACACACCTGTGTGTGCTGTGCATTGGCAGGGCGAGGAGACTGCATGAGAAGCGTCTTGTTACATGCGTCACCACCAACAGTGGCCATCATCCTGCTCTTAAACCATAGGCCGTTATATCCAGGATCTTAGTATCTTAAGCCAGGGTCTGCAGCATCCTAGGACTGACTCATGTACTGCCACCAGCAAGCAGTGTTGTCATGTCTGTGGCCCCTCCACCTCCGCATCCTCCACACCCCAACTCCTCAGGCCTTGCACGGGGCCAAGGAACGTGCACGTAAAAGACCCTCTACGCCAAGCCATTCTGTACCGCACTGAGGAGACTGATACACAGCTCCCCCTTCTCTCTGGGGCAACGCTTTGGGGAAGGAAAACAGCACTGTGGAGCTGAAAAAGGGGAAAATTCTGGAACAGGCTCTGCCTAGCTGCACTGTTTCATCAGAACGGCTTCCTTCCTGTAATACATTCTACCTGCATACTATTTTTTTTTTGAAAGCTACAGGAGGGAGGAGCTTTATTTTCATAACAAGAACCCTGGAGAGGACAAGCAGGACGCCAGCATAGGGCCATCCTGGAGTGCTGCAGGGTCCCCGAGTTTCCCCATCAGCATCACTACTCAGGAGCAGGGAGACAGTGGGACACCCATGGTTGAGATGGATGTGGGTGGTGTCTACTTGGTGTCTGCTTGGCCGGTACCCGTCAGGCTGTTGGCTGCTCCTGGTAATGCCTACACAGGGCGGTCATCAGATCCCTCCTGCCTGTTCTTGGCAGAAAGGAGGCTGTGTCAGCCATTTGTGTGGGCTGAAAAGCCTGGGAGCCTCCCCCGGGGCAAAAGAAGTCTCTAGAGACCCCGGGAAAGCAGGAGAGCAAGTGGGCAGCATCAATATTGTAGGAGGGTCAGGGAAAGGAGGGGTCAGCAAAGCCAGAGACATAGTGACTCGGGACTTGTTAGCACATGTGCCACTCTGCCAAGTGGAGGGACTGATTTTTATGCTTCATTAAATTTACCTTCAAAGTCGGGCAGTGGTGGCGCACGTCTTTAATCTCAGCACTCAGGAGGCAGAGGCAGGGGGATCTCTGTGAGTTCGAGGTCAGCCTGGTCTACAAAGCGAGTTTCTAGGACAGATTCTAAAGCCACAGAGAAAGCCTGTCTCGAAAGACAATAACAACAAACAGTTTCAAACACCCTTACTTGGCCAGCCCTGCCGTGCTGGAAGCCAGCCCTGTTGAGAATCTCAAGTGGACGGAGTTAGCCCCCGTGGCACTATTATGTCTCGTCCTGACCTTTCCTTCAGATTATCCTAAATTTCAAGATGACAAAAAAAGGACAAACCACCCTCAAAGAAAACTCAGACTGGCTGCCACCCCGAAACAGCAATTTCCCCTGAGACCTAGACACCAGTCAAGGAAGTCAGCAGCCAGCTTAGGGTACCAAATGCACAGACCAGCACTTCCTACATCTGTTTGCTCCCTAGATAACCTCAGGACTGCCCGGGACACCAGGCGCTTGCCTTTTAAGGACGGCCACAGTGAAAGCAAGCTTCTTTCCTCTGTATCAACAACACTTTTTGTCTAGGTTTGGTTTTGGGCAAGCGGCCCAGCCTGGTCTGTTGGGGTTCCAACAGACAGACCTCTGTGCTGGGAGGCCTGTGACAGAATGACCAGCCGTGTCTCAGCACTGGACAGAGCTGGCTTATGGTGGGGTCCTTAGGTGGAGAGCAGCTCCGTTACTCCTTCCTCATGGCGGGCGGGATGGCAGCCTCTGCTCCGGGGTGAGTCTGAGCTTTGGCTTATCTCACCACGGCGAGCGAGCAGTCGGTGCTAGGGCTGTCAGCTTTGCTAGGCTCAAGGTCAAGGGTCTGTTCATGGCCAGAATACAATCTCAGCTCTGCAGCTCTAGAGGAACGTGGCAGAAACACATGGAGGTAAGGCCCCTTGCGTCCTTGGAGTATAGAGAGGCCTCTAACCACCCCAGGCATTGCTCTCCCTGCTTGCCACTGGATAGATAAAAAAGGATAATCAAGTATACAATAAAACAAGCTACTCGGGAGGTCAGCGGCTTAAGTCGGTGGGTTTCACTGTGCATGTTTGAACTTATAACCTTTCTGCTTCAGCCTCTTGAAATGTAGTTCCCAGCTATGGCAGCATTCTTAAAAGCCAAAACACTGCAAACACTCTGTTGTGGGAGAAACAAATGAGCCCTGAGATAACTAAACAAGGGAAAACCAAATTCCTCATACGGAGAGCCGTTAGTCACTGTAGACAGACGTCACAGTTCTCTGGCAAAGCCTACAAAGGACCTCCAAGGCCAGCGCCAAACCCCCGCTCCAGCAAGGACAGGGGCCTGTGCAAGACTCAAGCAGGACATAAGTGAAGTCCCAGAGGAGGGAGAGGATGGGCTGTAACTGGAAGAACTATATCACAGAGCTCCAGAAGACATACCAGGAAGATCTAGAAGAGCAGGAAAAGATCAAATGAATTCCTGGATTTGAGCTCCCCTGTGTAAGGACTCAGGCATTATGCTGCCCGCCCCTGTCACCTGGCAGAATGCACTCAGGCAGTGCCCTGGTCAGCCCAGGGTTCCATGACTACTAATCTGCATGAAGGTGCTAAGGACCCCTTCAAAAGATAAACCCCGCCCACTTATGCCTTCTTTCCCTCTCTCTTTCCTACTGTCCCCCAGGAGCAGACAGGACTTTTCCTGTCTCTCTCTTCTCTGTCCTCTGTGTCTCTGTGTCTCTGTGCCGCCAAGGTCCCCCTCTCACTTTATCATAGCACCCTGAAAGTGGTTCCCTGATTTGGGGAGAGAAAGGGGATAATTGATGGAGGGGCCAGGAGAAGGTAATTGTGGGGGAAAATGTGGTTTGAAAGACAGTTGTCCCCAAAGGGAGTGGCACTATTAGGAGGTGTGGCTTTGTTGGAGTAGGTAGGTATGGTACCCTTTGCTGGAGGAAGTGTGTCACTGTGGGGGCAGGCTTTGAGGTCTCTTTTGCTCAAGCTTCCCTCAGTGTGACATGGAGACCTCTGCCTGTCGCCTTCTGATCGGGATGTAGCCTGCACCATGTCGGCCTGCACGGCACCATGTCCCCTACCGTGATGATAATGGACTGAAACTCTGAGCTATAAGCTGCCACCTCGATGAAATGTTTTACTCTATAAGAGTTGCCACGGTCATGGTGTCTCTTCACAGCAATAGAAATCCTAGCTAAGACAGGAGTTGTTACAAGGGAGTCAGTTATTACTGTGATAGGCTGCCCCGTGTTTTTGTTTGGTGCAATGTGGACTTTGGCACTTTGGGTTAGGAAAGTGGTGGAATGCTTTAAGTGTTGCTTAGTGGTGTCTGCTAATAGAAGCATGGAAGACCATAATGCTGAGAATGATTTGAACTCTGGGCATCTGTCTAAAGAGGTTTCAGAGGCGAAAATATTAAAACATGGCCTAGAGGTCATTCTTGTGGTATTTTGGTGAAGAATGTTGCTGCTTTTTACCCTTGTCCAAAGGAGTCTGCCTCAGGCTAAAGGGAAGATTTTTGGATTGATTCTGTTGGCAGAGGAAATCTCAAGACAGCCTAGTACAGACTCTGTCGTGTGGTTATTAGTCTTAACTCTGACGGAGATTTATAAGGAAAAGGAGCAAATTGAGCAAATAAAAATACAAAATGCACAGATTGAGAAAAGGGGGCACCAGGAGGTGGACTAGAGCTAAATCCTGCATTCAAGGAGATAAACAGATTAAGAAATGGAATAAAGGGAGTGGTAACCCCAGGGCAAGATTCCACCCAGCTAAGTTTCCAACTTTCAAAAAGGAATTAAGGAAAAGCATAGAGCCAGGTGTAGGTGTAGTGGCCACCTTTAACCTCAGCACTACAGAAGGCAAAGCCAGGCTGATCTCTGAGTTGGAGGCCAGTTTGGTCTACAGAGCGAGTTCCAGCACAGCCAAGCTTAGACAAGTGAAGAAAACCATGGAAAACAGAAAGCTGGTGAAGATGTAGTTGGAAGGTCTCTGAGTTCAAAGCCAGCCTGTGCTGTGAGGATCCTAGAGACCACCAGGGAGACAGACCCACTGAACGATAAAAGCAAGGTTTTACTATTTCATCCAATCATGACAGGGACCTTGGCTAGCTGACTGACATAGCAGCTTCCAGAGGGAGTGAAGTTCCCAGTCTGCTGCTAGGTTTTAAAGACAAAAGTTACAGGATTACATCAGTAGGTACAGGTTGGTTTCTGATTGGTTGACATTTGGGGACAATTAGGAGAATTTCTCAAGGTCAAATTTTGACATGAAATACCTGTGTACTGAATATTCTCATTGGTCAGTGCTGAGAGTGAACATTCTGTGGTTTTTATGGCTTAGTCTTGTTTACTTGCAGGTGGCCTATTGTACATAGATACCAATAGTTTTTGGAACTATATATCCTGGAATCTACAGGGGAGGTTTTTGGTTTCCCCTGGAGTTTCTTTTGTGGCCAAATAGTTCCCAGGAACCAAGTATCTAGGAGGCTGGGGGTAGGGAGGTCTGGAGTTTCTTTGTGTTCAGTTTTGGCCCTAGGCTCCAGGAGGCCAGGGGATCTAGAGTTTCTTTGTGCTGAGTCAGAGGCCTACATGTCTTCTCTGTGGCCTGTCATGGCTGCTAAAGCAGGGGGCTGAGTGAGGGTCTGGTCCCTTCAACCTGGTCTACAGATTCAGTTTCAGGACAGCCAACCTTGGACAGTGAGGGAAACCACACAAAACAGAAAGTGGGTAAAGATGTAACTGAATCAGGGGACCATGTCCCAGCCCCAGCATGCCGCAGAACTTGGCAGCTTCAGTCACGTAGTTCTGGTTTTAAGGTTAGAAGGAAGGGGCTATGGAATATTCCTCCTCAACTTAGGAAAGCCACTGAGGCCAGGCAAGTGTCAGGGGTGTCCCTGGATGGAGGCCTAGAGAGAGCATTGCATGAAGCTGTGAAGGAGAAGCCTGCATTGTCTTGGAGACCCCAAAGTGCTGGAGATGACAGTGCCCTGGGATTCCTGCTGAGGAGAGCTGCTGACAGGAAATGGAACCGGCCCTAGAGAGAGGAGTGTGCTGCAGTGAACAATGCTGAAAGGAGCTGGAGATCTGAAGAAGATTTTGACATCAGCCGTGGAGATGCAGAGTTTGGAGCTTGCCCAGCTGGTTTTCAGTCTTGCTTTGGTCTGGTATTTCCTCACTACGCTCCCTTCCCTACGTTTCGGGATGGTAATATATATCCTGTGCCATTATACGTTGGAAGCATGTGATCTGTTTTCTTTATTTTAATTTTACAGGGGATTACAGTTAAGGGATTGTATGATCTCAGAAGAGACTTTGAACTTTAGACTTTTAAATGAGTTTGAGACTAAGAGACCATGGGAACTTTTGAAATTGGACTGAATGCATATGGCTACAAGGCTTGGGGACCAGGGAGTGGTTTAAAAGAAAATTACCCCCAAAGGCACTATTAGGAGGTGTGGCCTTGTTGCAGGAAGTGTGTCACTCTGGAGGCAGGCTTGGAGGTCTCATATGTGCTCAAGCCATGCCCAGTGTCTCAGATTACTTCCTGTTGCATACATATTGATATATAAAACTCTCAGCTCCTTCTCCAGCACCGTGTCTGCCTGTACTCCACCACGTCCCACCATGATAATAATGGGCTAAACCTCTGAAACTGTAAGCCAGCCCCAATTAAATGTTTCCCTTTATGAGTTGCCACGGTTGCTGGGCGGTGGTGGCACATATCTTTAATCCCGGTACTTAGGAGGCAGAGGCTTGAGGATCTCTGAGTTTGAGGCCAGCCTGGTCCACAGATTGAGTTCTAGGCTAGCCAAGCACAGCTAAGGCTATACAGAAAAACCCTGTCTTGAAAAAATCCAAAACCAAACAACAATGCTTGGTTACCCCCTAACATTCATGACACTATTCACCAGTGGGCATATCTCTCAGGCTGGTCGTTATGATAGCTTACCACAGGGTTTGTAACTGGGTGAGATACCTATTTTTCTCCTCTGGGAGCATGTATAACACCTTCTAGCACTATGAATGCTAGCTAGGAGGGGTGAGTACCAGCTAGATTTCTCCATATTCTATGCCATAAGGGCGTGGTATCTTTAGCAACAGGGTTTCACCATCAAGTTGGAGAGGGTAACCCATAGCATTGGCAAAAATCTGTAATGTTTGGAGGGATGTGTAGGATCCCTTGGCCAATGACTCAAAAAGAAGCAACCCATTCCTGTTACTTGGGGACTTCACGGTAGCATATGACTTCTAGGTTTTCATATGATTTTTCAAAGGCCTTTAGTATTACCTACCCCCCCCACCTTGAGAAAGAGAAGAAACCTGGGTACCAGGAGCTGGCTACTGTGGTGCATTCCTGGCATCCCAGCACTTCACAAGCTGAAGGTAGGTGAGTTTGAGACCACCCCTCCCAAAGAAGAGTGAAGGAAAGGAGGGAGGGAGGGGAAAGGATGGAAGGAGGGAGGGAGAGGGTAAAGGAGGGGGGAGGGGAAGGATGGAAGAGCAAGAGAAATAAACAATGGAAGAACACAAAAGTGGGTTTCAAAGGAAAGTTAACCTGGGCTAACACCGCCCCTCTGGGAACTTGGTGAACCTGGCACTGTCCCCACCAGCCACAGCATCAAGAGACACCTAAGTCACACAGGAATGGGGTCTAGATCCTGTCACAACACTAGAGAAGTGACTTCCGCCACGGGCACCGAGAACAAAGGGACGCTTAGGAGGAGCCGGCCACTGTGAGAGCAGAAACAGAAGCTGATCTGTCCCCTCTGTCTCACACAGGGGCAGTCCGTGGGAAGCCCCAAGGGGAGGACACTCTACCTGTTGTGGTCCAAAACAGGGCCAGGTGGCACCGCTCTCCCTGGCAGTGTAGCTCTCCCTGGTGGCGTGAGGACAGACTGATAACAGAACTGTGGACAGAGGTCTCCCAGCCGTGCAACCGTGCAGCCCTTCAGAGGTTAGTGACAAGAGATGACAAAGTGCTCACGCCCACCGATACGGCAAGAGGCAAGTCTGTCATTCAGGGCACCTAGCGCCAGCCTCCTTCTAGAGAGGCCGGTGCTGCTAGGTCAGTGTCTCTGGGGGGTGACTCATATCTCAGCCTCCCTGACTCGGGCACTGGCAGCCACGCCCCCTCCTGCTTGAGACAGGACTGCTTATTCCTTTACTTATTTATTCCATTCTCTCCCCACCCCAGCCGATGACTAATGGGCTCCTATCACCCCCAGGGCATGCTGGGAGGACACCACTAGCCCTGCAATTATCTGGGTCATTCAAGACCAAGTCAATGTCTCCACCTCCAACCCCCAGCATCAGCTTGGTTCTGAAATCCCGCCCCCGCCTCTGCCACCACCCACCCTGCAGCAGGCTATTCTTCCAGAAGACCTAGGTTCAGTTCCCAAGCAACCCACATGGTGGCTCGCAGCCGTCCATAACTCCACTCCCAGGGGATCCAATGTCCTCTATGGCCACCAGACACCCATGTGGTGCACAGACAAACACGTAGGTGAGATACCCATGAATAAAGATAAAAGGAAACCACTGAGAAATAGCAACACAGAACAAAGCACCCTTGACTACATAAAAGAGGGCGTGGATGAGACAGACAGCAAACAACTGTCAGGCAGCGCTACGGGGAGCACGTGCAGCGGGGAGCACGTGCAGCAGAGAGACGTGTGCACAGACGGAAGACCTGGCTTGCTCTAACGGAGCTGGGAACGCCATCGGCGGAGACGCGACGAGGAGGCTGGGTTTCGAGCCACTCCGAGGCGTTCGCCACGCATCAGCGAAGTTAACCGTAGAGAAATGAGAGCAAAGGCACTAAACTCTACTGTGCGACACAGAGGCCGTCCAATGTCTGCTGGGTAGAGTGCTTGCTTAGCATTTGTAAGACGTGGGATTCACTGCCCAGGACAATAAGTGAGCAAGTAAACGCATAAATAAGTAAATGAAACGTTCAGTGAGCAGAGGCTCTACTCTTCCCCCTTCGTCGTCTTTTTCTTCTCAGCGCCGAGGAACAAACCCAGGGCCGCTCGCAAGCCCTTAGCCCCAGCAATACCCCTCAGCCCTTGGTTTTTTGAGACGGGGTCTCACTATGCAGCCCAGGTCGGCTTGAGACTCACGGCCCTCCTCCCTCGGCTTGTTAAATGCTGGGGCTGCAGCGTGGTCCGCTGTCCCCACCCGGGTCAAGTCTCAATTCTTGTCTTTGTTCCTCGCTTTTCTTTTCTTTCTCGCGCTAGGCAAGCCCTTTACCCCCAGTCACATCCCCAGCTGTTTTGGTCCCCCTACCCTGTTGCTCCTCTCTGTGGTGGCTTCTCACCTGGGACTGAACCTGGCAACGCCAGCCTTTCATTTGCTGTTCGACACCACACCTAGACGGCAGGCTGTCGAGAGATGTACCCACAGAGACGGAGAAAACATGCGCGGGAAGAGTACTGTGCATCCATTCACACGGAAAGAGTTGGGTATTGTTCACACCGTGTTTGAAGTCCTCCTGTGCATCATAAGGTATTAAAAATAGAAAGCCAGATTTTTACAGAGATGGAATCCAATATAGGCCACACTGAACTCCCTCTTCTGCCACCTCAAAAGTCCAGTGTCCACTGAAATTCAGAGCCGGAGGGTTCTGTCTTAGCTCCACGCTCCACTGCGTTTGTGTTTAAATTTAAACCTACTTATTTGGGGAACAGACATGATCAGAGGTCAGAGGACAGCCTCTGGTCACCTTGTCTGAGGTGGGTCCATGTTGTTTTTCTGATATGTTCACCCCTGTTTGCATGGTAAGGTCCGGAGGACCCTCCTGTCCCCAACTCCCGTCTCCAGCTGGGACTACAGACCCTTGTACCACCATTCAGCCCTTACATGGATTCTGGGGATCTGAAATCAGGTTCTCAAGCTTGTACAGCTCCATGGCTATATTCGACGGTGGGAGATGCTACATGGAGATTTATAATAGAAATACCCTTTCATGCCGGGCGTTGGTGGTGCACGCCTTTAATCCCAGCACTCGGGAGGCAGAGGCAGGCGGATCTCTGTGAGTTCGAGGCCAGCCTGGTCTACAAAGTGAGTTCCAGGACAGCATCCAAAGCCACAGAGAAACCCTGTCTTGAAAAAAACCAAAAAAAAAAAAAAAAAAAAAAAAAAGAAATACCCTTTCATATTGAGGGATATGTCAGCATGTTAATCCCCATGCTCCCTCACCTGGAGTGGGTTTTCCATAACCTACGGAATCCCAGGACTTGCCCTAGACTAGAGGTACCGCCCCAAGCCCAAACACTCTCCTCTGGTCCTTTTACAAGTTAGAACTCAAGGTGTGTGTGTGTGGGGGGGGGATCCTTCTTCTGGGGAGGTGGAAGGTGATTTGGGGGCTTTAAAAGAGAGAGAGAAATGTGACAGGTGAGAGCTAACTGGAATGAATTTCAGCAGATAGAGTCCGAGCTGCGTGCAGCGATGCCCACTGAGGCAGACGAGTTTTCAGAACCTTGCCTGAGCCGCTGGAAATTGACAGGAGATAAAAATAGAAGCAGAACTGGACACTGAGACTTTTCTAAATGCACAGGCACAGAGACGGCCCCAGGAGGAAGGACTCAGCTCCTCGGTGCTTCCATCCACCCCGGGTCCTGGTGTCTAACCGTCTCCAGGGTTTTGGGTTTTCTGAAAGGTCCCTGTCAGAAAGGAAGCGGAGTGGAAAGCTCTGAGGCTCAAGTCAAGAATGACGGTTGCTGTGTGACTTTGGGTCAAGTCCTTAACTGCTCTGAGTGGCTACGTCCTCGCCTGTAACGGGAGGGTAGCAGGCTAGCTACTCCACAGACTTATAAAATGGAATGGCGCCTGGAGCCGAGGACAGGAAGTGAACAAACCGGGCTTATTGCCGCTGTGGGATCTGTTTCTCGGATTAGCCAGAAATGAAAGATGGGTTTTTTGTTGTTTGCTTGCTTTGGGGGAAGAAAACAGATTTATCGAGTATGCTGCAAGGAAGGAGCAGGCTGGGCACTCCTAGGACATCTACCGCTTGCAGCCTTTGGTCAGTTTTTGAGAGGCTTGCTATGTAGGTCATGCTGGCCTTGAACTCTCAGTAATCCTCCTGCCTCAGCTACACCTGGTTAGAAGCTGGTGGGTCTCTTTCTTTCTTTCTTTCTTTCTTTCTTTCTTTCTTTCTTTCTTTCTTTCTTTCTTTCTTTCTTTCTTTCAGAGCTTTTAAAAAATACGTGTGAACCGGAGAGTGGTAGCACATGCCTTTAATCCCAGCCCTCAGGAGGCAGAGGCAGGAGGATCTCCATGAGTTGGTCTACAGAGTGAGTTCCAAAGCTACACAGAGAAACCTTGTCTCAAAAACAAAACAACAACAAACAAAAACTGTGTGTGTACATGAACATACAAGCATGATGTGCGCACATTCATGCGTGCCTGTGCACGCATGTATACCGGAGGGCACTGGCTACCCTGCTTCATCATTGTTTACATTATTCACATGAGACAGGGTCTCTCGCCGAACCGGCAGCAAGACTTGTGACAGCAAGCCCTAGTAATCCCCCTGCCTCTGCGTCCCCTCCACGACCCCCTGGCCTTTGGTCCCAGACTACCTCAGCCACACCAGCTGGGTGCAGGGATGGGAATTCATTTCCTCATGCTGACACAGCAACCTACCGAGCCATCTCCTCGCCCGCTGGAAGAGGCTGGTGACAGGTGTGCACACAGCTGTAGGCAGAGACCACAAGCATGGTGCCTTTAGCATCGGCTGGAGATGCGCTGGAATGGTATGGGGTAACTTAGTCCCCTGGCCCTCAGCCTTCACTGTGAAACATTCCCAAGGCCTGCAGGGAGCGGGGCTGTATCCTGCAGTAAAGTGAAGTTTGGCTGGACCTCGTTGGCATACTGAGAAAGGGGGCCGTAGAGAGGTCCAGGAATGGCTTACTCTCCACCCACCCCCAGCCCCGTATCTGGCGTCTTCCCAAGATTCCAGTAATGTAGTCATTCAGGAAGGACTGCCTCAGTGTGACCAGTCCGCTGTAACCTTTCCAAGGGCACTATGAAGTGACCGGCACGTCTCTAGGACATAATGGCCGTATTGGTTACTTTCTTTCTATTGCTGTGATAAAACACATGACCAAGACAATTTATCACATCTCTAGGACATAATGGCTGTATTGGTTACTTTCTATTGCTGTGATAAAACACATGACCAAGACAATTTACAAAAGAAGGTGTTGAGCTGGCTTACAGTTCCGGAGTGTTAGCTTCCGCGTCAGCGCCCAAAGGTGTGGTGGCAGGAACGGCTGAGAGCTCTCATCTGGAACCTCTCTGAGGGGCCAAGCACACTGGGAATGGCTTGAGTGTGAAAGCTCAAAGCCCACCTCCAATGACATACTTCCTCTAGCAAGGCCACACCTCCTGGTCCTCCCTAAACAGCCCACCAGCTGGGAACCAAGTGTTCAAATACCCGAGATTTACAGGAACATCTCATCCAAACCACCACGCCCACACATCCAAACCACCACGCCCACACATCCAAACCACCACGCCCATACCGGCCGCGGACTGGAAGGGCTCACACCTTGGGAGTGCTGTTTAAGGGGTGCTGGGGGCAAATCTGCTTTTCTCCCTCGGCACAGAGTGCCCACACAAGGCGCCACGGGCCGAGCGGCTGCAAACCACAAAGTACCATCTGGCGACCCTGGAGGCTGGAAGTCTAAAGCAGAGATGCCAGAGGAGCAGCCGTGTCACTTAAAAGCTTCAGGCAAACCCTTCCCTCCCATCCCCAGTGCTGAAGACCCAAGGATTCCTGAGCCTGGCCTTGTCCACCCATTAGATGCATCACACCTATTTTGAGCCTCCATCGTCACATGGTCTAGTGACCCCATCCTCTTCTAATAAGGACAGTGTCATGGTGAGTGAGGGGCCTTCCTACTCCAGAATGACCTCATTTGAGCTAATTGCATCTATAACAATCCTGTTTCCAAATAAGGTCATGCTCAGGTCCCCAAGGCTAGGACTACAACAACCCAACCCTGAGCAGCCTGGAGGGCCTTCTGAGAAGGCTGTCCTCCTCAGTGCCTGGGGACCAGAGCAGCACTGGTCATCTCCACATCAGGGGACACGCCAACCAGGGGT